ATATGCTTTTCGCGATTATGTCTTGAGGTCAGCTGATAGAAGATAAGACCTATAAGAGAGGTGATGATAGTATTCAATGAGGATTCTTACAATGCAACATGGGGTGATTAGAGCTAATGGAATCGGAGTGCAGTACGTAACTGGGAATTGCTACTAGTAGCTCTCTTATGCATAATACTGGAATCAGTTTTGTTTAAAGTTAAGGAGCAAAAAGGAAAACACATGAGAGATCTTCTAATGAACTACACGTACTGAAATAATCTATTTTCTGAAATATATCTGTATCAAGCAGACATATTAAAAGAACCGTATATTGGAAGACTACAAATGATTTTTTTTTAATAGTACGTGTGAATCACCTTTCTTTACATAACCTAAGACAATAATAAAGGAAAAAGAAAGAAACTGCACGGCAGCCTATCCCGACCAAGGTTTCCAAACAGTATTTTAAAACATTCCACAAAACGTAGTTGGTATACATACAAGCAAAGTCTTTTTCTAAACCTTTAAAGATTCCAACGCCTTTTGGGTCGGAGACAGGGTTGATGCACAGGCAGTCTCACATCACAGGAATACTGGGACAGGCGTAATGCATAATCATAGGATTTTTGTAATGTCTGGTTAAGATGCCCAAATTACAGGAGAAAATCATCTTGTAATATATCATTACTAACGACTAATACAGCAAAACTTTACTGAGCACAACAACAAAAAACATGGATAAAAAAAAACAAATTCACAGATGAATCACACAGCATAATAATAATAAAAAATTGGGCAACGCAACCACTGAATGCCTACTATTGTCATTTTGTACATTACTCTATTACAAGATTAATTATATGTCCTTTTTGACCTTTGCGCCTTCTTATCAGTATTCTTTTTCGTCGTCTTCTTCGGACTTTCTTCCGTTGCCTTCTTCGTAACTTTATCGTCCGCACGCGTGTTTCCTCCTTCGGAATACTGGTCCATGTATTTCTCGGCCTCTCTGTTGACAATGGATGGGAAATGTTCAAAATCATTTAATGCATCTTACGTTCTGTATTTGGCGGCATAATTAGTACACGGGCGAATTGGACACAAACACATTTCAGCAGGACACAGTAGGAAAGAAAAAAAATAATAGACAGAAAAAGAAAATAGTGTCCATACATTCAAAATACGTTGATTGATCAGCGGTTACCGACAAATATCACTGGTGCTTCATTTACAATTTTATAGTACCGCTATCAATGCTAATACCAATAATAATAATCATTATAATAAAAATAACGTTACAGGAGGCTCCACTAGAGCATATAAACAACCTTGGGGTGATTTTTGAATAATTTTCGAAGAGGTACGTCTAATATGCCGTCAAATACGATATATATATCTATATTCTAATAGGTTTACTATAATGCATATGATTATCCAGTGTAAAATATACGAAGTGCATAATTAGCTTCATTGCCTCAACAGTTTGAATTAGTAAACATCTACCCATACCGTGAAGTACGATAACTATTGCTAATATAGAAGAAAATACAATCCGGCCATATAAATTCGAATAAAAACATACATCACAAAAAACACATACAAGTAATAGGGAAAAATAGACACTCACAGCCATTTCGTTTGCCCAGGGTTGGTGAAGAAAGAATGAGGACACAATTCTTGGTACTCGAAACAGTCTCCAGTCGATCTGCCGGTTCTCTCAGCTCTCGTGTACTCGTTCAGTCTCTTCTCGGCGTGTGGAGACCGGCTGGCGCTGAAAGATGAGATAATAACATTCATTTGATTCTTCGATGAGTTATTTGCAAAATTTGAATGGAAAACAGGAGAGAAATAAACTTAAAAGAAAGACTGTAGGCTGAGCACAGATGGAAAGTATGTTTAGTTTTATAAGATTGGGTTGTGCAATAGTGTTTCGTGACAGAACTTGTAGGCCTATGTTTTATTAATTTCGATGAATATAGAATTATATAAAGAGGTATTTCGACTGTTTATCTTACTATATGAAAAATTCGAAAAGGAAAAGGCTCGTCAAATCCATGATAATTACAGCTGTAATAAAGACAATAACTGATGCTACTACAACTATGTCAATAATATTCATGATAAAGATAATGACAGCGGTGGTGCTGCTGCAAATAATGATAAAATGGATCTCCTACGAATAAAAACTACCACATTAATAACGTTATGTTATACGTGGTGGTAATTATTTACACAAGTTATCCTTTCAATGTTACCTGAAGAAAAGTTCGAGGACTTCACCAAAGAAACCGTGGTTCTGAAGGGGATACTGGAACATTTCGCAGATGGCTCTCAGGAGGCATCCCTTTCCATTCATGCCCATGTTGAACAAAGTGTCTTCAACGACCTGGTACATCATCTCTCTGTTGAGGAAAATGTGCATGGTAGAGTTTCGAGTTCTGAATTTAGCCACAAGTTGTAACTTTACATAATCTGCGTCGAACACAGTGTATATTTGTTGGTGAAAAAATACAAAGAAAATATTTCCAAAAGCAAGAGTATACTAACTCCTAGATAATACCTCACACCATTCCTTTCATAAAAATCTAAAAAAAATAATAATCTCATTTGTTTCTCAATTTCTATCACACTTTCGTTACATTATGTCCCAAACAGCCACACAAACACACAAAGGCGAAAATGTGTCTGAAAGTTCCAGTTTGTCTTGTCTGTGCTGACACCGTGTCTCTTTAATGTCCCGTGTTTTTTTTCTAAGCAGTGGACCGTCTTACCTGTCTCCTCCCGCATAGTTGACGCCAGGGTAGGTGAAGGTGTCTCTCTTCTTCCTAAATAATCCGAAGCTTGGCCAAATACCCCAAGGATTCTCATCGGAGGTCAAACCAAGGTCATCAAATCCAACTGTGAGAAAATAATGTCAGGTCATTGGTCAGAGTCCCCTTTCCCCCGGCAAATTGACGCCGAGGTCCTCTAAAGGTTAAGAAGTTGTCAAAGTCTCCCAAGAGATTGACCTTTTGCGGTCTTTGGAAAATAGACAGACAACTACAGAACACGAAGTCAAGGTCGAGAATATAAAATGAAACCTTGATAAAGTTCTCAGGACAAAGCTACCAAGTTTGAAATAGGTTTATCAAAGTCTTAGAACTAAGATTATCAAGCTCAGCCTTAGTGAGAGACTATCACTTGTATCAGGTCAAAAAGTGTAACACTGAAAAAAAATGGTCATAGGTCAGTGCTGATATGAATAGGACATATCAAAATGTGTAAAAAACAGGAAAACAAGGATGTGTATCAATGGCTGGTGTTGATTATGCATATGATATAAGAAAGGTCATGGGCGGAGTACACTGTGACAAGGTAAGTTATGAATGCGAATGAATAATTCCATAATACAAAATATGTAGCTAAGCTTTCGAAATTGCAACTTTGTCGTCATTATGTAATAAAATCCATTCACATTTATACTTTTTGTAAAGTAAGATTGTGTTAACAGTGAAAATATGGGGAGTTCGAAAATAGAAGGTAGGCAACGATACAAAGTTTTACATAAATGAAAAGAGATCATATGTCCCCAAACCATTCCGAGAAGCGTGAAAGAAAAAGCTTCACATTAAAAAGAATAAATGTCAAAACACAGCATATGAAGTTCTAGATAGTTTCCCAAGAGGTGGCTGTTTCTTTTTCGTCTTTTTGAATTAAAAAAATATAAGTCTAGTATCGGATATAAGCTATTGATAAGGTAGCACTGACTGACAGAAATTTGGGTGGAAAACTGATGTCAGAAAGTAAAGTCAATCTGTCATGTGTGAGAGTTGCGTGTTTTGTGACGTCGCTGAATATGCAGCTTGATTAAAGCAACTAAATTTAGTTTTCGTCTCACTTGTAACAGCCATTCTAAACAAGATCTAAAAATGTTGGGACTTTTTTCCTCATCAAAATTTAACGTAAATTATAATTGAATGATGTTCCCACCAACGAACATGTTCTTAAAGGACTGATGGCTTCTAGTTCTGACACATTGATTGCTAGTGATAAAAGCACGAATCGTCAAAAGAAATATCGTCAAAGCGTCTGAAACAAATGGTCAAAAAGGAAGTAAAGTTCACCGAAGAAACGAACATAACGCCATCTGTGAAATCCTGCAACCACTCTCCTCCAACATCACGTGAAGTATGTAAGTGTATGCATGGATATATGAATGCAACTGCGCATGTGTGTAGCTGTGACGTAGGCCTTACTCTTGAAGGGGATCGAGATCGTCATCGAAGCGCCGTAGCCCACCGGTAAGTTCCTGGCGAAGGGCAGACTGAGGGTGGGCGTGAGGACCAGCACAGTCTCCGGCGGGAGAGTCAGGCGGCGCTCACTCGTCAAGTAGATCACTCTCTTTACTCGGGAATGCGACCTGGCGAGGAGAGGCGGGCCTTGTTGGGAATCCGTAATATCGACAGTTTTTTTAAGATATAATAACTGTTTTCTCTACTTTATCTATAGCTTGAGTTGTTTATCACAGTTGCATTTCAGGACTATATAAACAACAGAAAAAATTGGTTTTACATATTTAGGTAATAAAACAGACTTTGAAAATATGGAAGACCATATGATTTAAAAACAAGATTACAATGACAGCATATTAAAAATTATCACCAATCTGAATATATAAAATAATAATCCTTTTACACACACTACTAAGGCGGTAGTTCTAGGTTTAAAAATACCCATATTTACTATGAAAGTTCCGTTGGATAGAAAACTGAACATGGAAGATGCTAAAACTACAATCAGACTAAATTTACGTGGAAAGAATACGAAACAAAACATACAATTGGAAAGGAAACTAAAAAGAAGATATAACATCACAGGCCTAATGACTGCCGGACTAAGGACTACTAACACCGCCCTCCACGCAGCCGACTTACGTGGTGTTCGAGCTCTCCAAGGTGTCGTCGATGTCGTGGCTGAGGACGAGGCCTGGCAGCACCGCTAGGAGCGCCAGCATCACCGGCCATCTCGGAAGTCGCGTCATC